TCCTTACGTGTTTGATGGGGACCACGGAATTGCTCTGCACCAATGCAGGGTAATCGGAACTCATATCTTGGTGAATTGGAAGTCTCATGGTTTTTGTCGAGTTGCGGAGTTAACCTGGCGTATATTCTCGATTTACAATGGGCGTGTCCCTTCAAAACTAGTGTTTGTTCAGTGACGTCATGACTCCTGTGGCGTTACAAGGGACACATTTTGAATCTCTTCGAGGGTTGTCAGGGCAATAGAGGCGCTCCTCGAGGTGACGCGGGAGACCCAGGATCCCATTCCAGGTGCCACAGGGATATTGGACTGCCTTTAAATTTTCAAGTGGAGTCAGGCATCGTCACCTTTTGGAGCACTGAACTCTGTGTGTTTCTCGAGGTGTCCAAGGGATCTGTGGCTTCTTGCCGAGAATAGGCGGGGACATCGGGCTTTCTCTAGGGTCTACGCAGGGGATTCAGACATCCCGTCTTCTTGGGAAATGAAAGACGAGCCTGCATTCTAGCCACTGCAGGGAAATTCGGCCTTTTTATGAGTCAGGGCATCTCGTTGTCCATTTCACTTGAAGCAGCACATTCAGGATCCCTCTCACATACCTATTGCTGAGAGAAGCCTCCGCTTGAGGTGTTTGTGGAAAGTTGGCTTAACTCTAGAGTCAAAGCCAGGGAATCAGCTCTCATCTCGAGACGATCTGGGGTACACGGAGGTTTCTTCGAGTTGCTGTGCTGAAGTTGGTTTTCCTCTCGACTTGGACAGTGTCCTCAGGGAATCTCTGGAGTAGCCTAACGGAAGTCAAGCCACTTGTCTTGTTTGATGGGGAACCCCGGATGTCTCTGCATGCAATGCAGGGGAATCGGACCTCTTCTCGCGGCAAGGGGGAAGTCTCATGCTTTTTCCCGAGTTCGCCGGGAACCTGGGTTATATTCTCGAGTTACAGTGGGGATGGCCCTTCAAAACTCGTGATTGTTCAGCGACGTCAGGAGTGCTGTCTCCTTACGCGGGACACTTCAGAAATTTCTTCGAGGATTGGCAAGGCAAAAGGGACGCTTCTCTAAGTGAGACCGGGGACCCAGTGTCCCTTGCCAGTTGCTACATGGATATTGGGATGTCTATCAGTTTTCAAGAGGAGTCAGGCACGTCACCTTTTGGAGCATTGAGTTCCGAGTGCCTCTCGAGTTGTCAAAGGGATGTGAGGATTCCTGTCGAGATGAGGTGGGGACCTAGGCCTTTCTCTAGGGTCTCCACAGGGAATTCAGTCATCCCTTCATCTTGTGAGATGAAACACGAGCCAGTATTCAAGCCAATGCTTGGAAATCCGGCCATTATTCGAATCAGGGCATCTCAGTGTCCATTCCACTTGAGGCAGCAAAATCAGGTTCCCTCTCACATACTCTTTGTTGAGAGAAGCCTCCTCTTGATGTGCTTATGGAAAGAAGGCATACCTCTTGAGTCGAAGCCAGGGAATCAGCTCTCATCTCGAGACAGTTTGGGGAACACGGAGCTTACCTCGTGTTGCTGTGCTGAAGTTGCTGTTCCTCTAGACTTAAGATGGGGTTCTCGGGGAATCTCTGGGGTTGCCTTAAGAAGGCAAGACAATTGCCATGGTTGATGGGGAACTCGGGATGTCTGTGGCGAAAATGAAGGGGAATCAGGCCTCATCTCGAGTTGACTTGGGTTACACGGCACTATTTTGTATTTCTGCGGTGACCTCAAGTTCCCTCTAGACTTGTGAAAGTGTTCTTGGGGACTCACTGGAGTTCCATCTAGCAAGTCAAGGCTCCTTACGTGTTTGATGGGGATCACGGAATTGCTCTGCATGCAATGCAAGAGAATTGGGCCTCATCTCGTGGAGAGAGGGAAGTCTCATTGTTTTTGTTCTCGTGCGGCGGGCACCTAGGTTATATTCTCGAATTACAGCTGGGAGGGTCCTTCAAAAATCGTGTTTGTTCAGTGACGTCAGGAATCCTGCAGCAATACAAGGGACACGTTGGGAATCTCTTCGAGGCTTGGCAGGGCAATAGGGACGCTTCTCGCGGTGAGGCGGAAGACCCAGTGTCCCTTTCCAATTGCCACAGGGATAATGGGATTACTCTCAATTTTCAAGAAGACTTGACATCGTCACATTTCGGAGCATTGAACTCCGCGTGATTCTCGAGGTATCAAAGCGATGTGAGGACTCCTGTAGTGATGAGGCGGGGACCTAGGTCTTTCTCTAGGGTCTGTGCAGGGGATTCAGACATCCCTTCATCATGTTAGATGAGGGACGTCCTGCATTGAAGGCACTGTATTGTTATCCTGCCGTCTTTCAAGTGAGAACGTCTTGGAGTCCTTTCCATTGTAGGCAGCAAACTCAGTGTCCCTCTCACATATCTATTGTTGAGAGAAGCCTCCACTTGAGGTGCTTATGGAAATTTGGCATACCTCTTGAGTTAAAGCCAGAGAATCATCTCTCATCTATAGATGATTTGGAGTACACGTAGCATTCCTCGAGTTGCTGTGCTGAACTTGGTGTTCCTCTCGACTTGAACAGTGTTCTCAGGGAATCTCTGGAGTTGCCTAAAGGAAGTCAAGTCACTTGTCATGTTTCATGGGGAACGCGGGATGGCCCGGGATCCAATTCAGTGGAATCGGGCCTTATCTCGAGTTGATTTGGGGTACACAGAGCTATTTATCATTACTGCTGTGACTTCAGGGTCCTTCGAGACTTGTGACAGTGTTCTTGGTGACTCTCTGGAGCTCCATTTAGCAAGTGAAGGCTCCTTACGTGTTTGATGGGGACCACGGAATTGCTCTGCACCAATGCAGGGTAATCGGAACTCATGTCGTGGTGAATTGGAAGTCTCAGGGTTTTTGTCGAGTTGCAGAGTTAACCTGGCGTATATTCTCGATTTACGATGGCCTGTCCCTTCAAAACTCGTGTTTGTTCAGCGACGTCATGACTCCTGTGGCGTTACAAGGGACACATTGTGAATCTCTTCGAGGGTTGTCAGGGCAATAGAGGCGCTCCTCGAGGTGAGGCGGGAGACCCAGGATCACATTCCAGGTGCCACAGGGATATTGGAGTGCCTTTAAATTTTCAAGTGGAGTCAGGCATCATCACCTTTTGGAGCACTGAACTCTGTGTGTCTCTCGAGGTGTCAAAGTGATCTGCGGCTTCCTGCCGAGAATAGGCGGGGACAAAGGGCTTTCTCTAGGGTCTACACAGGGGATTCAGACATCTCGTTATCTTGGAAAATGAATGACAAACCTACATTCTAGCCACTGCAGGGAAATTCGGCCTTGAGTCAGGGCATCTCGGTGTCCATTTCACTTGAAGCAGCACATTCAGGATCACTCTCACATACCTATTGCTGAGAGAAACCTCCACTTGAGGTGCTTGTGGAATGTTGGCATAACTCTTGAGTCAAAGGCAGGGAATCAGCTCTCATCTCGAGAGGATCTGGGGTACACGGAGGTTTCTTCGAGTTGCTGTGCTGAATTTGGTTTTCCTCTCGACTTGGACAGTGTCCTCAGGGAATCTCTGTAGTTGCCTAAAAGAAGTCAAGCCACTTGTCGTTTTTGATGGGGAACCCCGGATGGCTCTGGAGACAATGTCGGGGAATCACGCCTCATCTCAAGTTGATTTGGAGTACATGGAGGTATTTCGTGTTGCTGCGATGATCTCAGGTTTCCTCGAGACTTGTGACAGTGTCTTGGGGACTCTCTGGAGCTCCATCAAGCAAGTCAAAGTTCCTTACAGGTTTGATGGGGAACACGGAATTGCTCTGCATTCAATGCAGGGGAATTGGGCCTCATCTCGCGGCAAGGGGGAAGTCTCATGCTTTTTCCCGAGTTCGCTGGGAACCTGGGTTATATTCTCGAGTTACAGTGGGGATGGCCCTTCAAAACTCGTGATTGTTCAGTGACGTCAGGAGTGCTGTCTCCTTACAAGGGACTCGTCAGGAATTTCTTCGAGGATTGGCAAGGCAATAGGGACGCTTCTCTAGGTGAGACGGGGGACCCAGTGTCCCTTGACAGTTGCTACATGGATATTGGGATGTCTATCAGTTTTCAAGTGGAGTCAGGCATCGTCACCTCTTGGAGCATTGAGTTCCGCGTGCCTCTCGATTTGACAAACGGATGTGAGGATTCCTGTCGAGATGAGGCGGGGACCTAGGCCTTTCTCTAGGGTCTCCACAGGGAATTCAGTCATCCCTTCATCTTGAGAGATGAAACACGAGCCTGTATTCAAGCCAATGCTTGGAAATCCGACCTTTATTCGAATCAGGGAATCTCAGTGTCCATTCCACTTGAGGCAGCAAAATCAGGTTCCCTCTCACATACTCTTTGTTGAGAGAAGCCTCCTCTTGATGTGCTTATGGAAAGAGGCATACCTCTTGAGTCGAAGCCAGGGAATCAGCTCTCATCTCGAGACGGTTTGGGGAACATGGACCTTTCCTCGAGTTGCTGTGCTGAACTTGGTGTTCCTCTAGACTTAAGATGGTGTTCTTGGGGAATCTCTGGAGTTGCCTTAAGAAGGAAGACAATTGCCATGTTTGATGGGGAACTCTGGATGGCTGTGGCGAAAATGAAGTGGAATCGGGCCTCATCTCGAGTTGATTTGGGGTACACGGCACTATTTTGTGTTTCTTCGGTGACCTCAGGTTCCCTCTAGACTTGTGAAAGTGTTCTTGGGGACTCTCTGGAGTTCCATCTAGCAAGTCAAGGCTCCTTACGTGTTTGATGGGGAACACGGAATTGCTCTGCATGCAATGCAAGAGAATTGGGCCTCATCTCGTGGAGAAGAGGAAGTCTCAATTTTTTGTTCAGTGCGGCGGGCACCTAGGTTATATTCTCGAATTACAGCTGGGAGGGTCCTTCAAAAAGTGTGTTTGTTCAGCGAAGTCAGGAATCCTGTGGCAATACAAGGGACACGTTGGGAATCTCTTTGAGGCTTGGCATGGCAATAGGAACGCTTCTCGCGGTGAGGCGGAAGACCGAGTGTCCCTTTCCAATTGCCACAGGGATACTGGGATTACTCTCAATTTTCAAGAAGTTTTGACATCGTTACATTTCGGAGCATTGAACTCCGCGTGACGCTCGAGGTATCAAAGCGATATGAGGACTCCTGTATTGATGAGGCGGGGACCTAGGTCTTTCTTAGGGTCTGTGCAGGGGATTCAGACATCCCTTCATCATATTAGATGAGGGACGTCCTGCATTCAAGGCACTATATTGTTATCCTGCCGTCTTTCAAGTGAGAACGTCTTGGAGTCCTTTCCACTATAGGAAGCAAACTCAGTATCCCACTCATATACCTATTGTTGAGAGAAGCCTCCATTTGAGGTGCTTATGGAAATTTGGCATACCTCTTGAGTTGAAGCCAGGGAATCATCTCTCATCTATAGATGATTTGGAGTACACGTAGCTTTCCTCGAGTTGCTGTGCTGAACTTGGTGTTCCTCTCGACTTGAACAGTGTTCTCAGGGAATCTCTGGAGTTGCCTAAAGGAAGTCAAGTCACTTGTCATGTTTCATGGGGAACGCAGGATGGCTCGGGATCCAATTCGGTGGAATCGTGCCTTATCTCGAGTTGATTTGGGGTACACAGAGCTATTTATCATTACTGCTGTGACTTCAGGGTCCTTCGATACTTGTGACAGTGTTCTTGGTGACTCTCTGGAGCTCCATTTAGCAAGTGAAGTCTCCTTACGTGTTTGATGGGGACCGAGGAATTGCTCTGCACCAATGCAGGGTAATCGGAACTCATGTCGTGGTGAATTGGAAGTCTCATGGTTTTTGTCGAGTTGCGGAGTTAACCTGGCGTATATTCTCGATTTACGATGGGCGTGTCCCTTCAAAACTCGTGTTTGTTCAGCGACGTCATGACTCCTGTGGCGTTACAAGGGACACATTGTGAATCTCTTCGAGGGTTGTCAGGGCAGTAGAGGCGCTCCTCGAGGTGAGGCGGGAGACCCAGGATCCCATTCCAGGTGCCACAGGGATATTGGAGTGCCTTTAAATTTTCAAGTGGAGTCAGGCATCGTCACCTTTTGGAGCACTGAGCTCTGTGTGTCTCTCGAGGTGTCAAAGGGATCTGCGGCTTCCTACCGAGAATCGGCGGGGACAAATGGCTTTCTCTAGGGTCTACACAGGGGATTCAGACATCTCGTTATCTTGGAAAATGAAAGACAAACCTACATTCTAGCCACTGCAGGGAAATTCGGCCTTGAGTCAGGGCATCTCGGTGTCCATTTCACTTGAAGCAGCACATTCAGGATCACTCTCACATACCTATTGCTGAGAGAAGCCTCCGCTTGAGGTGCTTGTGGAAAGCTGGCATAACTCTTGAGTCAAAGCCAGGGAATCAGCTCTAATCTCGAGACGATCTGGGGTACACGGAGGTTTCTTCGAGTTGCTGTGCTGAATTTGGTTTTCCTCTCGACTTGGACAGTGTCCTCAGGGAATCTCTGTAGTTGCCTAAAAGAAGTCAAGCCACTTGTCGTTTTTGATGGGGAACCCCGGATGGCTCTGGAGACAATGTAGGGGAATCACGCCTCATCTGGAGTTGATTTGGAGTACATGGAGGTATTTCGTGTTGCTGCGATGATCTCAGGTTTCCTCGAGACTTGTGACAGTGTCTTGGGGACTCTCTGGAGCTCCATCAAGCAAGTCAAAGTTCCTTACAGGTTTGATGGGGAACACGGAATTGCTCTGCATTCAATGCAGGGGAATTGGGCCTCATCTCGCGGCAAGGTGGAAGTCTCATGCTTTTTCCCGAGTTCGCTGGGAACCTGGTTTATATTCTCGAGTTACAGTGGGGATGGCCCTTCAAAACTCGTGATTGTTCAGCGACGTCAGGAGTGCTGTCTCCTTACAAGGGACTCGTCAGGAATTTCTTCGAGGATTGGCAAGGCAATAGGGACGCTTCTCTAGGTGAGACGGGGGACCCAGTGTCCCTTGACAGTTGCTACATGGATATTGGGATGTCTATCAGTTTTCAAGTGGAGTCAGGCATCGTCACCTCTTGGAGCATTGAGTTCCGCGTGCCTCTCGATTTGACAAAGGGATGTAAGGATTCCTGTCGAGATGAGGCGGGGACCTAGGCCTTTCTCTAGGGTCTCCACAGGGAATTCAGTCATCCCTTCATCTTGAGAGATGAAACACGAGCCTGTATTCAAGCCAATGCTTGGAAATCCGACCTTTATTCGAATCAGGGCATCTCAGTGTCCATTCCACTTGAGGCAGCAAAATCAGGTTCCCTCTCAAATACTGTTTGTTGAGAGAAGCCTCCTCTTGATTTGCTTATGGAAAGAGGCATACCTCTTGAGTCGAAGCCAAGGAATCAGCTCTCATCTCGAGACGGTTTGGGGAACATGGAGCTTTCCTCGAGTTGCTGTGCTGAACTTGGTGTTCCTCTAGACTTAAGATGGTGTTCTCGGGGAATCTCTGGAGTTGCCTAAAGAAGGCAAGACAATTGCCATGTTTGATGGGGAACCCTGGATGGCTGTGGCGAAAATGAAGGGGAATCGGGCCTCATCTCGAGTTGATTTGGGGTACACGGCACTATTTTGTGTTTCTGCGGTGACATCAGGTTCCCTCTAGACTTGGGAAAGTGTTCTTGGGGACTCTCTGGAGTTCCATCTAGCAAGTCAAGGCTCTTTACGTGTTTTATGGGGAACACGGAATTGCTCTGCATGCAATACAAGAGAATTGGGCCTCATCTTGTGGAGAAGGGGAAGTCTCATTGTTTTTCTTCAGTGTGGCAGGCACCTAGGTTATATTCTCGAATTACAGCGGGGAGGGACCTTCAAAAATCGTGTTTGTGCAGTGAAGTAAGGACTCCTGTGGCATTGCAAGGGACACGTTGGGAATCTCTTCGAGGCTTTGCAGGGCAAAAGGGACGCTTCTCAAGGTGAGGCGCGAGACCCAGTGTCCCTTTCCAATTGCCACAGAGAAATTGGGATTACTCTCAATTTTCAAGAAGAGTTGACATCGTCCCATTTCGGAGCACTGAACTCCACGTGCCTCTCGAGGTATCAAAGCGATGTGAGGACTCCTGTAGTGATGACGCGGGGACCTAGGTCTTTCTCAAGGGTCTCTGTAGGGGATTCAGACATCCCTTCATCATGTTAGATGAGGGACGTCCTGCATTGAAGGCACTGTATTGATATACTGCCGTCTTTCAAGTGAGAACATCTTGGAGTCCTTTCCACAATAGGCAGCAAACTCAGTGTCCCTCTCACATACCTATTGTTGAGAGAAGCCTCCACTTGAGGTGCTTATGGAAATTTGGCATACCTCTTGAGTTGAAGCCAGGGAATCAGCTCTCATCTATAGATGATTTGGAGTACACGTAGCTTTCCTCGAGTTGCTGTGCTGAACTTGGTGTTCCTCTCGACTTGAACAGTGTTCTGAGGGAATCTCTGGCGTTTCCTAAAGGAAGTCAAGTCACTTGTCATGTTTCATGGGGAACGCGGGATATCCCGGGATCCAATTCAGTGGAATCGGGCCTTATCTCGAGTTGATTTGTGGTACACAGAGCTATTTATCATTACTGCTGTGACGTCAGTGTCCTTCGAGAATTGTGACAGTGTTCTTGGTGACTCTCTGGAGCTCCATTTAGCAAGTGAATGCTCCTTACATGTTTGATGGGGACCACGGAATTGCTCAGCACCAATGCACGGTAATCGGCCCTCATCTCGTGGTGAATTGGAAGTCTCATGATTTTTGTCGAGTTGCGGAGTTAACCTAGCGTATATTCTCGATTTAGGGTGGGCATGGCCCTTCAAAACTCGTGTTTGTTCAGCGACGTCATGACTCCTGTGGCGTTACAGGGGACACATTGGGAATCTCTTCGAGGGTTGTCAGGGCAATAGGGGCTCTCCTCGAGGTGAGTCAGGAGACCCAGGATCCCTTTCCAGGTGCCACAGGGATATTGGAGTGCCTTTAAATTTTCAAGTGGAGTTAGGCATCGTCACCTTTTGGAGCACTGAACTCTGTGTGTCTCTCCAGGTGTCAAAGGGGTCTGCGGCTTCCTGCCGAGAATAGGCGGGGACATAGGGCTTTCTCTAGGGTCTACACAGGGGATTCAGACATGCCGTCATCTTGGGAAATGAAAGACGAGCCTGCATTCTAGCCACTGCAGGGAAATTCGGCTTTTTTTTGAGTCAGGGCATCTCGATGTCCATTTCACTTGAAGCAGCACATTCAGGATCACTCTCACATACCTATTGCTTAGAGAAGCCTCCGCTTGAGGTGCTTGTGGAAAGTTGGGATAACTCTTGAGTCAAAGCCAGGGAATCAGCTCTCATCTCGAGACGATCTGGGGTACACGGAGGTTTCTTCGAGTTGCTGTGCTGAACTTGGTTTTCCTCTCGACTTGGACAGTGTCCTCCGGGAATCTCTGGAGGTGCCTAAAGGAAGTCAAGCCACTTGTCGTGTTTGATGGGGAACCCCAGATGGCTATGGAGACAATACAGGGGAATCAGGGTTCATGTCGATTTGATTTGGAGTACATGTAGGTTTTTCGAGTGGCTGCGGTGATCTCAGGTTTCCTCGAGACTTGTGACAGTGTCTTGGGGACTCTCTGGAGCTCCATCAAGCAAGTCAATGCTCCTTACAAGTTTGATGGGGAACACGGAATTGCTCTGCATGCAATGCAGGGGAATCGGGCCTCATCTGGCGGCAAGGGGGAAGTCTCATGCTTTTTCCCGAGTTCGCCGGGATCCTGGGTTATATTCTCGAGTTACAGTGGGGATGGCCCTTCAAAACTCGTGATTGTTCAGCGACGTCAGGAGTGCTGTCTCCTTACGAGGGACACGTCAGGAATTTCTTCGAGGATTGGCAAAGCAATAGGGACGCTTCTCTAGGTGAGACGGGGGACCCAGTGTCCCTTGCCAGCTGCTACATGGATATTGGGATGTCTATCAGTTTTCAAGTGGAGTCAGGCATCGTCACCTCTTGGAGCATTGAGTTCCGCGTGCCTCTCGATTTGTCAAAGGGATGTGAGGATTCCTGTCGAGATGAGGCGGGGACCTAGGCCTTTCTCTAGGGTCTCCACAGGGAATTCAGTCATCCCTTCATCTTGAGAGATGAAACACGAGCCTGTATTCAAGCCAATGCTTGGAAATCCGGCCTTTATTCGAATCAGG